ATTTTTCATTTGTCTTAGCCTTTTCGTTTCTTCTTTCCTGCTCTTTCATCTTTGCCCCCTCGTGGGGCCACAAATAGATTAGCTGGCCCAATCTCCATTGAAGCCTCTATTGGTTTTGGGTGGGCCACCTTGATCCGCATATAATAATCTAGGTTTTGGTGCTCTTGTGTTGCTCTTCTTTTCTTTTTTTTTTTCTTTTTTTTTTTGCTACCCTCAACAAACCATTCACACCTGCTACCTCTTATTCTGATTAAGATGCAGGGTACTAGACGTGTGATAGCTATAGTCAAAAAGAGGTCATCTGTTCTGCTTTTGATTCAAATTAGTGGTGATGTATTGCATCTGTGTGCATTGATGTTTTAGCTAGGAAAGCCCAACTCACAGTAGCTCATTGGGCTGACATATAAATGATAAACACCACCCACCTGTTGATTCCTCTTGATGAGTGATCTAGATTGGCTCTAGCCCTCCTTTTAACATGGCAATTGGCAATACTTTTCTCAGACATTTTAGCTGAGATCAAGTGTGGCATCTCTATTCTTATCCTGTGACATCATTATGAAGAACAAACCCACCTTTTCCATGATTATTAATTGCAACCTGAGTCCCTTCTTGAGACATTTTATCAGTTCTCAAGTCTTGCTGGACCCCTGTTTGGGCCTACAAATTATGGTTTCAAGCCTGAATGTACTCAGTTGTTGGAATGTTTAAATTGCAATCATGAAACCACATGCTAGAGTCCCACTAATCCACCATTAGAGAACACTGTCATTATGCCTTTATCTGGCCTCAATCTAAAGTTATTTAAGGCAGTGTTTGGCATTGATGCCATTTTTTGAGAAAACAGCGCCATATAAGTGTTACATCAGAAAAGGTGATGCTTCAGAAAACGGCCTCTTATTTGATATTATTTTTTTAGAAAAAAAAATGTTGCTTTAGATCACGCCTTGAAAATCGAGAAAGCGTGGTCTAAAGAAATAGAAAATTCAATGTTTTCTCAAAAAACAGCCCATTACTGCTAGTGATGCAATGATGTGGCATTATTTTAGACATTGGATAATATGACCAATGCTGAAAACAGCTACAGCATTAGTACCAAACAAAACCAATGCTGTTTTCCTAGAAAACAGCCTATGTGACAGCACCGTTTGTTTTTATGAGAAAATGGTACTGTGTTCTTAGCACCAATGCCAAACACCCACTAAGCTTAACCGAGATTATTCAATGCTAACCAGGGTAAGTTTTTTTAAGTTTAAATTGACCAAGAGAGAGAAAGAAATGGAGATAGAGAGCTGATAGTAAGGACTCAATCACACTGTCAAATTGAAGGTTGGTGACCAACTTTTGAAAGCTCAGTTGTCTTCAAAAAAGAAGGAAAAAAAAAAAGCTAAGTAAAGGACAAGGAAAGATATCACTGCATTCGAAAGCATCCATTCTAAAATTGGGTCCTTTCAGAGATGCTACTAAAAGAAGAAACTGGGTCATTTTAGGGCTCCCTGAATTAACCCATTTCTAATTTTTACTTGCATTTGGAAAATGACTCCACTTTGGATGGTGTGTAATAATATAGCAAGGAAAGAGAAAAAACAAATGATTTCACCCCATATGAATGAAACTAAAATATAAGGGGGAAAACGGTTTTGTCCCACATGACTTTTGACACCATTAGCAAACCAATTCATTCATTTATTGGACAATAAAGCTCATTTTATAAATCAAATATAGTTCCTAACAAATAAAATTGACTCATTTTTATCTATGTGGAGAGTTTCATGAAAGGTTCATTTGTTTGCACTGAATAGACGTTTGAGGTCTGAAAAAAAAAATGACTTTTTAGATGTTCCGGACTGTTGGGTGCAACATTGTAGTTTGGACTCTTAATTATAAAGATTCCTTTTTGTGGCTTAGAGGCCCATCCACCTTTTCAGGGGAGTAATGAATTCAGGTTGGAAAAAAAAAAGGGGGGAAAGTAGTAACTAAGTGGTGTTTTATATATTTTTGTTTCCAAAATTGGCCTCACTCTATAATAGAAATGTCCATATATTTTATACTTAACTAAATCTTTACCCCTCTCTCTCACACACACTAAGATCTATCTCTTTTACTTCTCTTTTGGTGGAGCCAGTGCTACTAGCAAATCCTTTCTTCTCATTTTTTTTCTATTTTTTTTATTTTTTCATTTAGAAAAGAAAAAATAAAACTCATAATTTCATAGGGTAAATATGTAAAACGACCTTTTTAAGATATTCAAATAGTTCATCTGCATTCAGAGGATAGAAAAGAAAAAAGAAAACTCTTGCTATTCAAAATCAAGTGTCACATTCAATTTTTTCTGCTTCCTAAAAAATCATAGTTCAATTTTGCCAAATGCCACCTTGTTTTATGTTATAAACTGCCTATCAATAATACATGGAAAGAGTTATGAATAAGAGAAATTAATGTATCATTTATTTTGAGTGTAAGATTGTGATATTAAAAAAAAAAAAACTTGAAAGAAGCATTAACTATAATTTTATTAAATCATACAATTGCAATTAATGTTCCGTTTGTTTGTCATCACAAATGTGTCAATTCAAATAACGAAAATGTTTTTTTTTTTCTGACAGGTTTGTGCCATGAAGAGAATGCATTTCTGTTTCCATTTTTTTTTATACAAACTTGTGCTCTTGAAAACCGAAGTAAACAGGTTTATTCATTGTATCGATCAAGCAGGAGGTGAGACGTCGCTCCCAGCGTTCCACCAACGGTAACTTATCCTACCGTCTTCTCCGACCACTACGTGGTCGTCGCCGTCCATCTTCTCCTCCGCTCAGCTGATGTGGCCTTTTTGATTTTGCAGGTCTCCTCCGGTAGCACAGTCGATCTCTTTCTACGGCTTGACCACTGCTATCAGATCCGACCTCATTTTTTTTCTCTATATAGATCTGCAAATGAAGACATTGCATGTCTATGCATCAGCAAACATAGATATGCAAATCATATGCATTTTCCGATAGATATAGATGGTGGATTGGCAGTTCATCACCACGGTTTAGGTTATTTTCTTGTTTTGATTGTCTGTGGAGACGCAGATCAGTAGTTTTCCCTCGATCTTTCATGATCTGGAATTCAGACAACCGACGTCTGCCCAATCTATAGTCGTCTATGTGTTTGAGTTCCAGAACAATGGTGTTTGTTCTGTTTTCCAGTTCTTGCATAAACTTAGGCCCCATTTGGTTTACGGGAATAGGAGTCTAGAATTGGAATGGGAATGGGCTATTCTGATTCCAACTGTTTGGTTGGGCGGAATCGAAATCCCAGTTCTACCAAACACCAACAATTTTTGTATAGGTATTTGCCTCAAATGAAACAAACGGCAAGAGTACAAAACAGGTGAACTCATATTGCATTCATGAACCGGAATGAATGTATTTATGCACTCTACGAATTTGTATTTGCAAAAAGATAGAGCAAAAATATAATCCTTTAAAAAATGGGAAGCAACTAAGGCTGAGTTTGGGATGAGTACAAATGCAAATATATAGAATGCAAAATCTTATATTTTGTATGTATTTATGTTGTAGATATTTGTATTTATAATCTTTCCAAACTGAGCCTAACAAATTGTCTGACCTTGTTTTTTATACAAGAGAACCTTTGGAAAGAATGCAAAAGGCAAATGCATCAATGTAAATGCAAATTCGGTCAGAAAGTACGAATGTAAATATGGTTCCATTTTGCATTGATAAATTTTGTATTGTGTTTGATTGTGATGGATATAAACATGAATTTAAAGATTAGAATTTACCTATTTTACATTGACCACTGTAAGTGCAAAATTTTCTTCTATTTTTTTGAAAGCAAATTATAGTCTATTGTGAATGCAAAAATGCAAGGAGTAACAAATAATTTAATTTTCAGCGCAAACGACTTCCAAACTGACCGAAATTCAAATTGGCCTTTGGTTCTGTATTTGCACTCTCTCACCAAGTGCAGAATATGTATTTGTACTATTATGAGGGGAGGAAATATTAACTTCTCCGTCTTCCAGAACTAACTCTACCCGATGTCATTAATTTTCTTTCCTCGGCCATAAATAAAGTAGATCAATTATTCAATTCATTTTGATAGATCAAGAATCCACACAAGGCAGGACCATAGGCCTGTGCAGGCATTTGGCTTCTATTAATTATTGTTGGGAATTCACATGGGCGCCCCACATCACATTTTAACTGTATATTGGGAATACTTGTCAATGACAAGCAGGAGATATTCTCAATTAACGCTGAGATATGCATGTGAGGCGTCAGTAGGGTGCTGATGTGATTTCTATAATTGGACTCTCACTCACTCACTGAATAAATAAAGAGACAGAATGCTTGTGCCAAACATTTATAGAAGTTGCCCCGTTTAGCCAAACTCTAGGTCTCAGTAATTCACAATTAACATATAAAAAGAAGAAAAAAGAAATAACAATTCAATACTTATTAACCCCACCCGGCCTGGTATCAATCGATGTAATAATTTGTTTCAAATTTTAACCATAGGAAAAAGAAAAATTCATGAGTGGAAAAGTTGAACAAGTAGAGCTCTTTTGAGAATTCTAACCTACCTTATTAGAAATTTTTGATAAAAATAACAAATAAATGTATTTACCTGACCGAATAAATATATTCCCAATCTGGATGTTACTAGTTGGAAGTTGGAACAACTTTCAGCTGAGAAGAGTTGGGGTTTCATTTGCCTATATTGTCTTAAACCCGACCCGTTTCCGAATTTCAAAATCCTAGATGATTCAATATTTAATGGACCTCCCAAATTTTCCACATTATCATAACCATCCAATGTCTTGATTCTAAACTTGTAGAGACCTCTTAGGTGGGTCCCAATGATTGTCCATTAGGCATTAGCAACATCCACGAAATGGGTTCAGACTTCAGAGTGTCTTAAGGAAATCATGCTGATGAGCTGAAATGCTGAATGCTTAAACCCAGGAACAAGATAGATATGGCCTTAGATTGTGGCAGAAAATCAACCCAGCCGTAAATCCCTGTCTCACACCCTTTGAAAATTGCAAGTTAGGTTCAAAGCCCCTTTCTCGCTTAATGCTTTTGTTTTCTCCCAACAAGTCTGACGTGAGTCACTGTAAATTCTCCCTCTCTAGTGTCTTCCCTTCTCCAATAAAACCAGACCTCACACCACATAATCTTTAAACTCCCCCCTTCCCCCTCTCTCTCTCTCCTTCCATTCTTCTTCTCCCTGCAACAACAATGGCAGACGGAGGGCCTGGTTTTTGTTTCTTCTGGGCTGTATTCTTTGCTTACTTCTTCTGTGTTGCTCTTTCTAGGAGCTTAATCGAGATCCCTAAAACCACTGTGCTCGATGTCTCCGCCTCCCTTCAGAAAACCCATAATGTTCTCTCCTTCAACCCAGAGGCCTTTCAGACCCTCCATCCAAAAGAGCAGACCACCACCGAACCATCGTTGGCTTCCTTGGTTCTGTCGATACATCCACGACACACACTTCACAAGCCCACCCACACAGACTACAAAACTCTCACTCTAGCCCGACTCAAGCGAGACGCGGCCCGAGTTAGATCCCTCAACACCAAAGTGGATCTGGCTGTTAAAGGCATCAAGAAATCAGATCTCAAACCCTTGTTGATGGAAAATGCAGTACAACCTTCTTCTAAGGATCTCGAAGGTCCGGTCATCTCAGGGATGAGTCAGGGTAGTGGCGAGTATTTTTCCCGATTAGGTATCGGTGTTCCGGCGAAACAGTTGTACATGGTGATTGACACGGGCAGCGACGTTAACTGGGTGCAATGCGCCCCCTGTACGGATTGCTACGACCAAGCCGATCCGATATACGAGCCCTCTTCTTCTTCTTCGTACTCGCCCCTGTCCTGCGACTCCGAGCAATGCAAATCGCTGGACGTGTCGGCTTGTCGAAACGGGTCCTGCCTCTACCAGGTTTCGTACGGAGATGGGTCTTACACCGTCGGCGACTTCGTCACAGAAACCATAACGTTCGGCAACTCGGGGGCCGTTAACAACATCGCTCTTGGCTGCGGCCACGACAACGAGGGCCTGTTCATCGGCGCCGCTGGCTTGATTGGTCTCGGCGGGGGATCGTTGTCATTCCCTTCTCAGATCAAAGCTTCTTCTTTGTCATACTGCCTCGTCGACCGGGACTCGAGCTCGTCGTCCACTCTCGAGTTCGACGCCCCTGAACCATCCGACGCCGTTACCGCTCCGTTACTCCGTAACACTCAACTCGACACTTTCTACTACGTGGGCTTAACCGGGATCAGCGTTGGCGGCGAGTTGCTGTCAATCCCTCCATCATTGTTCGCAGTGGACGAGAGCGGCAACGGTGGAGTTATAGTCGACTCGGGAACGGCCGTGACTCGGTTGAAAACCGAGGCGTACAACTCGCTCCGCGACGCATTCGTCAAGGGAACCGGAGACCTACCGTCAACGAGCGGTGTGGCTTTGTTTGACACTTGTTACGATCTATCGTCGAAGACGAGCGTCGAAGTCCCGACCGTTACGTTCCACTTCCCCGGCGGGAAGTCGTTGCCTCTACCGGCAAAGAACTACCTGGTTCCGGTGGACTCACAGGGGACGTTCTGCTTCGCGTTCGCGCCGACATCGTCGGCGTTGTCGATAATCGGTAACATCCAGCAGCAGGGGACACGTGTCAGTGTCGATTTCCAGAAGTCTGTAGTTGGGTTCTCGCCTAGTAAGTGTTAGATTGACAGCTTCACTTCTAATCGGGTTGTTTATGGCCCTTCCTTTAAACTTTTCGTCGGTCGCTTTCCGGTTTTGCCCTTGGTGAAAGAGAGGTTTTACGGTTTGACCTCTCACAAGTCACAACTTGCAGATTTTATAAAAAAGAGATGCATGTGAGTGGGTTAGTGGGGGCCGTTTCTAGTAAGTGTAAGGAGGGAAATGGGGCAAGTTGGTGTCGTTATTATGATCACAGTTCGGTGGCATGTATAGTAATTTAATTGAAAAGTTAGGGGAGTAATTAATATCTGAGAGATTATATATGGACTATGGAGTAGTGCAGTGATGTTTTTTTACCGTTACGGCGTTACGTTTTATTAATGTTGTTTATTGATGTGAAAATGAGATTATTATAAAAAGTAAAAACATATGGAATTAATTAATTAATTAGCGAGAGAGATAATCCAATGTTGTGTTTGTCGTGGTTTGCATGGGTGCCACGTGGAATGATCTGGCACCTACAAACTGTCTCTCTTTTGGAGGGATGTTGGGTAGGTCTGGTGGGGACGTGGGGACGGGGAATCTGCTTTATTCGTGGAGGGTGGAGTGGTGGAGGGAGAGGAAGTTCATGGAGTTGAGTTGGGGCCGGGTCAGGGTGGGCTTCGCTTTCTTGGAAGACGGGAATTGGGAACCAGTTCACATGCATAATAATAAGATGCGTTATCACGTCACGTATGGGCTGGTGGGCTCTAAAGCTTGGCCCACTACCACCTTGGCCTCTTTCCCAACACGGGGGCCAGGCCCGTACGTGTCCCCCATGACCCGTGCACAATATCCACAAGAGAGAGAGGGGGGACCACTTCGTCACGGATGAGATAGTCCAGAGAGAGCGAGAGAGTCTGGTCAAGATGCTGCATTTATCTCGAAAATTGGGGCCATTTTGTAATTACGAGATGTATTGTGGTGTTTTCAGTGATTTGGCAACATGGGGCAATGGCATTAGCAAATTGGTTCGGATGATGTTCCCAATACAGGGCGGCAGATCCGGAGTGTTAACAAATTTGCATCTCTTATATTTTGAGATTTGTTAAAAGGAGGCTCGGAGTTTGGTTTTGATCGGTGCAACTGTTCGAACACAGCCTTTGATTGTGAATATTTTCGTATTAATGTGTTTTATTTCATGGGAATATATTCTCGATGCAAAGTTACAAAAGATTGTTGGAATTGGAATGGTGTGAGCACGGGGTTAAACTGACCAAAGTTGATGAAATGAAAACATCATCAAAATCAAGTCATAATTATTTTTGAGATTGCAATCAGCATGTATGCGTCTTCACCAAATAAATTTCAATGCATCTTTTAAAAAAATTAAAAAGGTGGTATCGTGATTCTTGAGAGACCAGCTTCAGTCAGGACAAATTCATGTCCACACCATTCTAACAGCCTTTGGATTGGGAATATCTCTCCATAAAATAAAGCATGTGATATTCTCAATATAAGGCAGTAAAGGCTGCCCGAACAGAAGCCGAACTCGATTCTTGATGCAACTGGGTGCTTGCATTGTAGAGTTGTAGTAATGTCATATATAAAGAGTTTAAAGAATTTAATATATTTTAAATGATAATAGGCAGGTTTGGGTTATTTTCAATTTGTTCTAAAAAAATAAATTTGATCAAATAAAACTCTTGATAGGCAAAATTGGTGTATAGAAAGTATGGATAATGGCTCCATGAAATCGCCTATTTGTTGAATCACGTATTACGTATATAGTGTTTGAAGTTGAACTGATAGAAATAGAAATATCAAATAGGCAGTGAATGTGGAAAGGGACAAAGATTGAGAACTCCAATAAGGAATAACTTTGCGTCTTTGCCATCTGGTTATTTGCTTAATTAACGAGGGAGTATGGGCATTGGCCATTGGGGACATTATTTGGTTACTATTATAAAATAAAAAACTTTATCATATATCAATAATATTATTGGATTTAATTAAGCTGTTTTTAAGTCTAAAATCTATTTTGTATTCCGCTTTTAGTGAAGTCCCCCTAGTATTTATTTGGACAGTTGCTATAGCATATATATAGTCCAGTTCATCTGGTCTAATTTGGATTTGTCTATTAAAAAGAAAAAAAAAAAAAAAAAGTGCAATGCCCCACTCAATATATGGTGGACCGTGTCCTTCATTGGTGGAATCTTTGCAAAAGAGATTCTCAAATCAATTATGTTGCTTGCATCACTTGTTCCCTTATCCTTTGTTCTAATTGGTCATAGAAATAAAAATATTAATAATGTAATAATTATTTTAGTAATTAAAAATTTTTATATAAATATGTATCTTAAAAATTTTAATAGATTTGATATATTTTAAACTAAGATTATATATTTTTATAAGTTAATAATTGATATTTTAATTTATATTTGAGAATTTAATATTTGGTCGACTTTTTTGTGCATTATCAATACAATTGTATGATATTTATGCATCCCGCTATATTAATTGTAATATATTTTTTCGTATACACCATTAAAATATACATTTTCTATGTATTTATACATTATTTTTTCTATTTGATTTTAAATTTAGTGTTATTAATGTATTTATGGAATTTGTATGCATTTCATTAGCATATCTAAGCGTTTATATATATACATTTCAAATTGTATGCATTTCAAATTGAGCCTTAGGCTGTATTTGGTTGCGGTGCAATTTTATTTGCACTAGTACAAATGCATGGGAGTGAAATGAAAAGAATGCAAATTCTTGTTTAATTGAGTTTTAATTTATTAGGATTTGTATCTTATTTTACTTCATTTATACTACAATCAAACAAAATAAGCTAAAATTTAAAACAAAAATAGATCAAAATTTACACTTAAATCATTTGCACTGTCATGGTTTTGCATCAGTGCAAATTTGACCAGACTGATCCACTTAAATCATTTGGGCTGCCATTCATTCAGCTCAACTAGGGTTACAATCCAATTCTAATTTGAATTCAATCTAATTAAGGTGATCAATATATGTGCCTGAATGTTCCATGTTTACTAAAGAGACATATATTCAAGTTTCAAAGAGTTATTTTCTAGTCAGTTTATTGATCATGATACACAATATTAAAGTCATTTCTAATATATAATATTTCGAACAATTTTCACTTAGCTTATTAACAATATTCAAATCCTATTGCTATCCAATTTGATGAAATTTTGTTCAAAACCAAATATTAATGGATTAAATTTGGATCAGGTATATTATATATACTTGCAGCCTCCTTCCGACTCTGCTATGACTTGGAGATCGGCAGCTTTGCACCAATTTTATTATCACTGGTATTATTTTCATTGTATTGGCTACCAGAAGAATGTCAAAATTAAAACCAGCCAACAAACCAGGTACCACCTGTAGAAATTGCTACCCCACCAGAAGAGGACACAAGGTGGATTAGCGCCAGGTTCCTTTACTGGACAAAACCCCTGTCTCTCTCTCTCAGGTGTCAACCTCAACCTGCCCCCACATATCAAAGAGAACCAACAAAAGGAAGGGCCCTACTCTAAAGGCTTGAATGGACCACAATGTCACATTTCATTCATACAGCTAATCAACTATACTCCAATGTCTTTTCTTACAATTTAATTCCAGGGTCTCTTGTATTGAGAAATTGAATGGTTGTGGGTATCATGTAAGTTTTACAATTGGTTCTACAGCCTGCTGAATAACTATTGCATTCAGTTAATCTTATCTCTTCATCTCTTTTCACCTGTGCAGTCAGCAAAGCTTAAAAAAATTGACTTGGAAATGGAATTGTTCTGGCCATCAGTTTTTGGGTCAGCGGTTCAACTGTTTGGATCAAATGGTTTGAACATCTTACCCATTAGATTGGAATATTAGGGTAAGATGCATATAAATATAACTATATAAGAGAAAATAAGGTTTGAATGAGAGAGATTTGAGAAAACTATCGGCTGAAAGAGTTTAGAAGAAGAAGATGAGGAGTTGCAGGTTGCAATGGCAACAACGAGAGTGACTTACAACGGCAGTAGTGACGGTAATAGCGATGGCGATGGCGAACTACATCGGCAACAGCGGCGGCGATGGTGGCAAATTAGCGATGAAAATAGATCTAATCTCAGATCTCTCTCTCTCTCTCTCTCTCTCTCACTCACTCACTCACTCACTCACTGTCTCACACATCTCAGATCTCTCTCACTGTCTCGCACGAGAGAGACAGATTTGCACAAATCTGAGATTTCTCAATTTTCAAAACATTGTCGCAAACTGTTCTCTAGGTCAAACGGTTCAATAATCAAACCATCCTGGTCAACAGTTCATTGACTAATTCAATGGTTTTTTACTAAAGACCGGATTTAGGGTAAAATGGAACCGACTGCCTGAACAATTTTCAGCCCAAACAGTCTAACCGTCCCTATACACCGATTTCCCCTACTTTCATTTTTCTAACTCGTGTCTTGAATCTCTTGATTTGGCAGCATGCTCTATAGTCTATCCCACACCGGTTGCTCATATGGCAGGTCTAATTTCCTCTTCTCTATTAACAACTAACAATTCTCCATTTCTCAGCCTCATCCCACTTGAAATAGTGTAATGCAAGACGAGGGATGTCAATGAGTTGTGTCGGTATCAGGTTAGACTCTATGGAGTTGAGTCGGGTTTGGAAATTTTTTAGTTGGATCAGGTCATGTTCGAATTGAAACACTTGAGGGTCGGGTAAGGATTGTGGCAAACCTGTGCTAAACCCACTCTTGTTAGCATTCCCATGCAAGACTACTATTTCCCGGTCTGACTTTAAGTCTTCTCAGGTGTTACCCAGCCAAATTATGGAGCCCCACTTGTTTAAACTTGAAACTTACCAGAGAATGTAACCACCATATACCAAAGTTGGGTTTATTTATGTCCAGTTCACTCCGACCAACATTTATACAAGAAAATGAGAGCTGAGCTTTCAATATTAGCTGACTTGATTAGGATTTTGTGCTTGGGAAGCTTCACTTCCCTTTGTATCAAAAAGATACAAAACAAAAGAAAGTAAATAAGTATTAGAATGGGAATGGGAATGGGGCAGGATGGTATTTGCCCACCCCGCCCCAACTTTATTATATTACATAATATAATACAGTTTAAAGTAGATTTAAAAAAAAATAAAAATAAATAAATTTGCAAATACTAAGGTGGGGCAGAGCAAATTTAGGGAATCCGTTTCCCACAAAAACGGGGATGGAATTGAGATTTCTAGCCCCGATGGGGTTTGGGGTGGAGACGGGGCAGGGCATGCAAAACCAGACCCCAATCCGCCCCATTGTCATTCCTATAAGAAGCACAGTTGATGTGGAAGGCTTCCTCTAAGATCAGAGTATGCATCATTCCACACATCAGAGCTCCACTTCCCTCAACAAAGATGGTGGTTCTTTAGATGTTGAGTTATATATCTATACTACTTTAAAAAGCACGAATGGTCTCAAGAATATTTCTATAATTTTTTGAGGGCAAAATTTACCCCTATATATTTAAATTTATTGATAAAAAATGAGGGCAATTAGGATAGTCAGTTATTGATATTAAATGAGTTGAAGAAAGGTAATTTTAAGATATTCAATGCATTCAATCCTCTCATTAAATCCAACATTTAAGTTATTAACTTACATTCATGTTCATTGAATCATATATTTAAGTCATTCTTGTTTTTTCTCATCATTAAGTTCAATTAATTAAATCCATATTTAATAAATTAATAATTCCAATAACATAAAAGCTTATGCTTTAAAATCTACCTAAAAAAATAGTGTTTTCATCTAAGTAGTGGTAAGAATTTAAACCATTTGTATCAAATGGGTCAATCCATATTGCCACGATTAAATAATAAAATGAAAAAAAAAATTAAAACATTTTTAGTATACATATTAAAGAATAATAAGTATGATAAATAAGAAATGTTTTTTTATTAATGATGGAAATGGAACGTAAAATTTAAAACCAATTGGAAATGAAAATGCTTTCCTATTCTCTCTCATTAAACCCTAGATTTAAGATATATTTTTCTTATAATTAAATCCAAAATATTAATTTTAATAATATAAAAATAAATATTTTGAAAAGTAATTTGAAAACAAAACCATTTTCTTCCCTCTAGATGGTGGATAAGGAATTCGACTATTTGGGGTCAAATGGATTATTGAATAACACTATAATTAAATAATAAAAAAATTAAAATAAATAAGTATGAAATGTAAGAAATATTTTTTATTAATGATGAAAATGGAAGGCCAATTTTAAAATCTACCTAGAAATGAAATGATGTCATAGTCAAATAATCAAATTTTTAAAAATAGAAAATACAAAGAATCACAAGAAAAAAAAGATAGAAAAAATTTTGGATGCATATTTAATGTTATACATTTATAAAAAATAAAATATTGGGTACATCTTTAATATTATGCATTCATTATATTGAACAAAAACAAATATTATACATAAGAAATAATTTTATCAATGATGAAAATATAATACAAAATTTAATGTCAATCTAGAAATCAAACTATTTTTCTTTTTGGGTAGTGGGTTAGTGGTTTGGCTCAAATGATACTATAGACAAACAAAAATTAAGTGTAATAAGTAAAAATTATTTATATAATGTAAATGAAATATATAGTTTAAATAAAAAATTATATTCACAGTCGGTTGTATATTTAAAATTAGGTTACAGGTTGACCCAAAAACCAACAAAACTCTAACAACCGGCTCTATATTTCAAATTATAAAAACCCCTACTATGTCATCGAAGGCTTATGTGGTTGTTATTAAAATGGGACTCTTAATCCATGTTAAACACAACAAAAAGCCTATACTGAAAATAGGTTTTCAGTTTCTCTCCTCCTCCCACTATCTCTTGATCTCCCTCCCTTATCTCTCATTCTCACAGTCATCTCTCAATCTCCCACTCTAAGCTTCAGTTTGTAGTCAAATCAAAAGCTCTCTCTCTCTCTCTCTCTAATTCTTCTCCCTTACTCTCCCTCAGTCTTTCTCTTGCTCCCTCTCTCATTCTTTTTTTTTCTTACAAATTTATATAATATTAATCAAACTATATAAAAGAACTAAAGGGACCAACCACTTATACAATCAAGTTATAAATTTCCATCGAGTTGGTGTAAATTTCACAAACAAGAGTTACTCACATGACTTCATCGCCTTAATATGAAGAAAAAAATTCTATTTAACTATGATATATCTAAAATTCAAATAATTAATATGAAGAAATTTTTTTCACGTAGAACACATGTGCTTAATTACTAGTAAATAGAAAACAGAAGAAAAATTGATTTGGATATAGAGCTAAATATCATTGTCAACATTAGAAATTTAAAACATACAAATTTTTATAGCTTTATAAGACAATAAATGAAGGTCTCCTGGTTTCTCATCATTAGAATTGGTTCTTTATTTGACTACATTGAAGCAAAGTTGCTTCTACATTTTAATGTTGTCCCATCCAAAGCAAATTGATTACAAAAATAATAAGAACATTGTTGCTCGTATCTCCGGTTTGAAAAATACAAAAAATCAATGACAAGTTAAATCCCCTTGTTTGGGGATTGTCTGTCTCGATCAAGCTTTTGAACTAGCTCTTTCTTGGACAGGGCCCATGAATTGCAGTCATGAAGAGCAAAAACCACCAGACCATTTTACCCTAGCTAGCAATAATCTTGTTCACTCGTAATTCCCAAAGCGATCGCATTTACTTTTAAGCTCTTAACCAAGTTGTTCCATTGGCTTTGGAGTATTAACAAATTTTGCACTCTTGTCAAATCCCTCAAACAAAAGAATCCTCACTGCTTCCAGTCCAGTCTTAAGTGTGAAATCCAGCTGAAACACATATTAGATTAAACAATGAGGATCCAGAGCAGTGACAATCATATAGACACACAAGTAATGACCATGGGTTTCAAATCCATACTGTGGTACATAAACCACCAATTTTACAGATTTACCTCATCACGTTCTTGTCTATTGAAAGGTTGAAGAACAAAATTGACAGGATCCATCTTTCCAGGAGGTCGTCCAATGCCTAGGATAAATTTTATGAACCTAATTATGGCATTGTAACTATGCAGATAAACAGACAATCATACAAGTGACGAATAGGGTGCCTACCTATCCTCAAACGAGGAAAGTCACGGCTCCCTTTAAAGTGGTCAATGACACTTCTCATACTGCAATTAGAAAAATAAAAAATTATAAGCTCAAAAGAAACGATAGTAGGATAACAAGTTCAAGAACAATCAGGTCATTCACGATCAATTGCGATACAAACGTTAACAATGAAAAAAGGATCAATTGCAATACCAGTTTAGCCATTCATCAAGCAAAAGATTTGGTGTTGCATTCCGTTGATCACTTCTATATTGTTTAATACGACAAAAAGAACTAGAGATGAACAATGAGTTCTTCTTAGGGTGATCATGTGCCGGGCCAGGCTTCCAGGCCTATGACTAAATAAAGGCCATTACCCAATATTGGATCCAGCTAAATGGGGTCTTGGGAGGGGTGGACTGAATATGGTCCTAACCTTTCACATTTTTTCACAAGAAGTGTCTGCTCTCAGCCCCAGACCCACCTTATCACAATTGACAGCCCAAGATTTTACCATTACAACAAGTATATATAATATTTTATATTATATGGCATATAGAATCAAAATGAATTAAAGAAACACAATTTTGAACAGTTGTAAACTTTATGCATATTCATGATTTTGGAGAGTAAAACTTATTAAATTAAACTTTGATGGCAGTAGTATAGGTAACCCAGGGCCGTCTGGAATTGGGGGTCTTCAGAAATGCCGAGGGCCCGATTGTAGCCTTATTTTCGGTCCTATTGGTGAGGGAGACTCAGTTAATGTAGAAGTCCAAGCTGTACTTAAAGGAGTAGAGCTGCGAAGGATCTGGATGTGGGACATTTGATAATTGAACGCAAATAAAACTGGCTATTAGATGGCTGAAAGAGCCAGAAACTGCAGCTTGGTCCTAAAGGGGGGCTATAAGAATATTCAAAAACTTAACTACTAATATAACAGTTACAGTTCAATGGGAAAGAAGATCAGCAAATGGAATGGCAGATTTTCTAACCAAACAAGGGGTATATAGGAATCAGTTCTTTTGGGCTCAACTGTAAGATGTGTGTTATAGTTTAGAGGCAGCATCTCGTGCCTCATTGTGGGGAGTCTGTTCTATGTAACCTTTTACTTGTGATTTTTAATTAATAGAACTCTATTACTTGTCAAAAAAAAATTCACATATTTATCAAAAAAAAATGTCATATCCTCCCTACAAGAAAGACCTTCAATCATTATGCATATTTCAATAAATGAATTGAAAAGGTATCTTACTGAACAGTTCTTAGTTTCGTGCACAATAATGATTTTGAAGAGAGCCCCTACAAGTAACTAAGATGGAAGGGGGCAGCACAAGCTTAGAAACTTCACTTAGCAAAACAAAACATATAAGATTATATGAACCCATAGTGCAAAAAAAAAAATGTATGTATATAAACAACAGTAAATATAAGGACATGACCTGAGTCTGAAAAGCCGAGGAAAACACTTTTTTTTTCTTTTGATAGCAAATAAATAGGAGACAGGAGAAAGCATACAAGGTGTTGAAGGCAACTTTTTTAACAAACCCAAATAAAATAGCTCATAACACAAGTGGGTTGGCTAGAGCATTAGCTAAAATCTTCAAGATTAAGTGAGGTCTGTACGGGAATTTCCTCTCCTTAATTGGGAAGGACAGGTGTCCTAAACCTATAGGGAGGGGGTAGTTGCATTACTACCCCACTCCCTATTTAAGCTCCTTAAGGCGAAACTAGAGTCTCCTCTTAGGAGAAAATGTGTCTCAAAGCATACCACTCTTAGAGATTCTTAAGAAAAGCCAAGATAAAGAGAGAAGAAAAAGAGTTCTTAGGGGAAGATAAGGAAGAGAAAAAGAAATCTCACTAATAAAGGTAGGTAAAGGAAAGTCCTCTCTATAAATACTTCCTCACTCTTTTGTTTTATTCCTAAGAAAGGAAATAGAGGGAAAGAAAAACCATCTACGACCAGGTGTTTTTACTTGGTTGGTTATGGTCCCTCTATCAAGATAGGTTAGGGATTAAACCATCTACATTCTTATTCCCAAGGGCTGATTATGGTTCCCTTCAAATGAAAATGAACAATGGGATAAAAACTGTCTACAGTCAAATAGTCTATTTGACTGGCTACAGTTCCCTTCTTGTATACAAAATCCAGAAGATTAAGGGTATCTACAGTCAGAATTGTGTCTGATTGACTACAGCTTATTGTGAAGAAAGGAGTGAGAAGTAAATCTTCTTTGTATCAAAAATAAAATAAAGAAAGAAATGAATTGTTGTGGAGTTTCTTGATTGTATTTTTTTTTCTTTCTCATTCTTGTACACTTGGTGTAAAAGAAATGCAAATGAAAAGTTCTTGGTAAGAATACTCTAAAATTCTTTTCTTTTGTTCTATGCATCCATTTCTCTAAGTCAGAACCAAAAGGTGTTCTCTACTTTCTTGTAGAGATGTAATTAAGGGGAACAATCCATACAATTCCCTGAATAGGCCTTACCCAAAAAATAAGAACTCAATCACTCGATTGAGTGAATTATGTTGCATAAGAATTTCTTAAAATTCCACACCAACACAAGGTACGAGTTTTTTGGCCAAAGCACCTAAAGAAAAATATCTCTTCATCTCACCAAAATGCATAACCTCACAATCAAAAGGCCCAAAATCATCTTATCTCCAAGCCATCTATCTATTTTCAAGTGCTTCAGCGCCTTCCACAGTAAACATTTTCCCCTTTATTGTCACACCATTTGATAGAAGGCCAGGAAAGGCTCTAACAAACCTTGACAATCAAATCTATCCTTGATTGCCAACATCATCTGAACCAACTTGAAGCAAATTTACATGCTTTACACCAATCCCTGGATCTGCCACAACATCCCTATGTCCTACATTGTCAGAAAACCCATAGGAAGAACATGAGAAATCATGTCCCCACCCACAAACTTACTTCAAACAATATCTGGTGACACAATCTTGTTGATCACCGAGAATCCGAGATAACTAAGAATGCCTTGTTGAGTTGGGATAGGGCTTTGTTGAGTTGAGGAACTGCTTAAGAAATGTACTATTTGGGAGTGGTGCGGGAGGTTGAACAGCAAGGATAAAAGAAATGTACCATTTGATAAAATCAGTTCATTGAACAAATATTTGAAAGACAAGCATACATGAAAAGCACTTCATGTAAACACATCAAGTTTGAGGACATCCAAGGATAATGTCAACCATAAATGACCTTGTTTTTCTTTTCTTTTGTTCTAATTTATCTTTTTTTTAAACCATAATTTAACAGTGGATACGGTTTTAAATAGAACAGACTGGTAAAACAGGATTCATGTAGCCAACACCCCATATAGTTGGGAATTTGGAATAAGGCATGGATGATGATGATGATCTTTTTTGGGTGGGGATGGAATTTGGGTAAGATTGGAGGTCATCCATTGGAAGGTGAAGGAGGACCCAGACCCAGGTCTGGCAATATGAACCCCTGCAGATCAGACAAGTTCAATTTACAGAGAATTTGTTGGTCAAGTAATTTATGAAATTTTAATAACTAGTGGAGGCCTTCAATTCAACCATGTGCATTTGCAGGGATGATTGAGCTCCTCAGTTCCTCTGATGTCTCTAATTTTCCATGCATTAAAATTTTAATCACTCATGCTGTTGAAAAGCGATTGTCTTGATTGAGTTACAGATGATTCAATTTTGTTATTACCATATTTTTTTACCAATTAAGTTCATCCCCACTGACATTTACTACTGGGAAAAGAATAGTTTTAGTATATGCTTTTTTTCCTAATAGGATCCACTGATATAGACTTTAAATAAATAAATAATAATAATAATAACAAAATTTATGGAGAGGAGATGTTTCCTTCTCCAAGACGAAGCATATCAAACAGTGATACCAGGAACCTTGAAACTAAAGACTCTAGCAGTGGACACTGAGATGACACCTTCTACAGATCTTGGCAATGCCTCAAGCTGAAGTCAGCATAAAACCTTGCCTCTTAGAACTTAGAAGTTAGCACTCATAAACAAGATATCTGAACATGGAAAACCATCCAATAAGGAGTCCATACTTTAATTTTCTTACCTTTACTATATTCCAAATTTTTTTTTGGTATTGGGTGTCATGCACCACTAATAACCCCCCTCCCCTTTCCCCGAATCAGTGGTTGCAGGAATCAATTCCACGTCAATGCTGGAGTGAACCAGCTAACATACCAACGAGCCACCCCTCGGTTGGTGCGTTTATAGCTGTGTATTTAATTGCTATTTATAGCTGTGTCCTTTGCCATGATCTTCAGAGGTTGATGTGCTAGACACCCAAGGACACTTGAATACTTGGAACCCATCCATGTACCAAGGAAACACTGGTATCAAAGATATTGAAAGTGTTAACTATCTAGATTCCAGTAATGTTGGAAGAAGAAAACATGACTATAACTACCTTACATAAATTAAATATTTGATATTATTTTCTTATTGGCTTCAATTATGGAAAGTGTTGCTTATCATTAACAAGAGAGCGTGTCACATGCAATTAAAGAAAAGGGAACAAAACAAAGTACCCATTGTGCCCTCCGTGTCCACCTTTCGGTAGGAGACGTAATTTTGCAAATGGCAAATCCATGTCATCAAATATCTGTATAAAAGTATAATGTTTACCCACCACAGAGCAAAAAATAGAGGAAATATTAATGATTTAGGAAGAAAAAACAGATAAGGATTGAATAATTTACCACAAGTACTTGACTCAGTGGAATCTTGTAATAAGAAACAATGGAGCCAACCTTCAGAAATGGGCCCCAGATGTTAAGATTTAGAAAATATATATTGAAAATAATGGTTTGCATGTAGAAACCTATTGAGACGAGTTACTTACAGACTCACCACTTGCATTCATGAAAGTCTGAGGTTTGGCAAGTATAAGTGGGATGTTTCCTATATGACCTGCACATGGAGAAACAACCCAATCAAGACCTAAGAAATGCACGAATTTAAGGTCTACATAAGATAAGATCTAAACATAGTTAAGACTTATTTTTGTGATTGTTAACAACCAAAATGTGTATTAATATAAACGGTGCATGAGATGGGTATGTGAATAAAGGCTACCTACTGGACCAATTAGAAGAATGATCTGATGGTTCCAGAACTGGAGGCAAGCCAAAAGGATACAAGTTGAAGTAGTTAAAAAAAAATAATAAAAAAATTGGGGGCTCACAATTTAACAGAGGATATGGCCCATCATCATCATCATCTAAGCCTTATCCCAATTATATGAGGTAAACTACATGAATCCTATTTTTCCATTCCATTCTGTTTACTGCTTTATCCATTATTAAACTATGAGCACCTAAATCATTTCTTACCACTTCAACCCATGTCCTTTTTGGTCTGCCCCTAGACCGTCTAACCTCTTCAACTTGTAACCGATCACTTTTTCCTACAGGTGCTGTAGGTGGTCTTCAATGCATGTGATGGGAGCATCTAAGTCTACCTTCTCTCATTTTATCACCTATTGGAGCTACTCCTAGGTTCCTTAAAATGATTTCATTTCTGACCTTAGCTTTCTAGTTTTTCCACTCATCCATTAAGCATTTCTTATTCGTTTTTTGGAATGATGTTTCTTGACTGCTCAACACTCTACTACATACAACATTGTCCTTGCAACTGTTCTATAGAGTTTTCAGGATTTCTTTTTTTTTTAATAATTAACAGGTGAGCATGTTAGCATATAGAGTTTTCAGGATATGTCCCTTGATAGAGTGAAACACTGAAGCAGGATTCATGCATGCAATCCCATATAGGTGGGTTAAGGATTTGGTGAGTTAAGATGGGTGATGAATACAAGCCTTTGGAGTTTAGAGTTTCAGAGTTCCAAGAAAAGCCCTTGCCCAACAAAGAAGCTCCCTTGTGTAACATGTAAAAGGGCAACCCACTGTACAAGGCTCCTGCCAATGCAGGGTCTGGAGAGGGGTAGATGTATGCAGCCTTACCCCTGCACATACGGAGAGGCTGTTTCCAAGATTTGAACCCTGGTCACCCAGGTCGCAATGGGGCGACCCAACTGTTGTGCCAAGGCCCACCCTCTCCCTTGTGGAACATGTATAAAAACTATATTATGTATTGCAAAAGGAATTCATGGAGAAGGAAGCATACAGTGAGGAATACAGCCGACCAATAGACCTATTTATGTTTACTAAAAGCAATAGATGAGCTCCATATAGACTAGACCTACTAATGGAGCAAGTAAGACTGACTGTTTCCAGTTGCGCTTATTCAATTGACTCGTTCTTGTACGGTTCCTGCCGTTTCGGGTCTTTTGAAGGGGAAGAGAGAAGAATGGTCATATATTGGGATGTGAGGAGATCCCTCTGAAACATCAAAAACATCAGGAGAAAGATAAGGTCCCCATTCCCCAACTTTTTGCCCTGCAGCATTTTTTTTTCTTTTTTTGATAAATAACAGAAAGTATTTCATTAGTTAAGAAGAAACACTTAACTGCCCAGCAGGGTGAGCAGCAGGCCCTGCAGCAAAAATATTACACATTTAATTTTCTAAATCAGATAGAAATACCCAGAAATATCTTATAATGATTACTAAAGAGGATATAAGAAATGTATTTGTTAAAAAAACTTGCTTAGTGAATGCCAATATCATGGAGTCATCCAGATGCATCATCTAAAACCTTATGACAGTGAAGGGAAAAATCTAGGAGAAAGATGTCTTACTGAATTATCTGAAAATTGTTAAGGAACGAGTAAAACACATCCTTGAGCAAAGTTGTATCTAATGTGAACAATAAGAAATTCCTAATAGAAGTGGTCATTAGAAATCAGATCAATATATTAATTATATCATAAGAAAAGTGAGTAATACAAAATCTAAATTTTAAAGTATGGAACATTTTCTTCAACACTTCAAAATAATAATCTGAAGACAATGACTTTGCTCATTGGTTAACTATGATGATGCTATTCTATGTAAAGTGATAACAAGACACATTTTTTTAAGACCTAAAGAGTTACTTGCACAAGCAAACCTTTTCCTAAAAGAGCTTTGAAGCTAACATCGCTCATAGATATTCCTTCAGCTTCAGCTATGGTGTCTAACATCTCAAAACCCACCTGGAAAAAGGCCCATCCATTGGCACAATAAGAAGATGAAAGAAAAAGAATAGGGAAAAGAAGAATTCCTGTAACCAATGCATCCAAAAAAGCATTAGATATATTAACTGATAATAAATAAAGAACAAAGAGCCAAACCAAATTAATTATTATAAACTGCAATATCCTTGAACATGCAGTTCATCCATTACTGAATGAAAGTTATCCGTGATGTAGAGCTCATTGGATAGTGCTCAAATAACCTTCGTTAAAGCACCAAAATTAAGGATGTTAAAACTTTTCACATAGAAAAGTCTGTCCATGGTGGTGAATAAGTACACCCTATGTTTAAAAACAAAAAGGCATGTGGCAAGCTATTACCCAGATAACATCAAGGGCATTACTGAATACAGTATCACATACAAAATTTACACTAAAAGTTGAAGTATCCAACACAATACAGCAACCCTTGCACTGGTATCTGGGTACCGTAGGTGACAAGGTGCAAAGACATTTCAATGGATTAGCAGTAAGCTTTTACACTATCAATTTTAAGAAAAACATCAAACTAATATGAGCTGGGCTGATGTACTTTGCCTTTATAGTAATTCAATACAATACCAATACTTTACCTTTCTCAAAAAAATGAAGAAGATATAGAAATATGCAGAAGAGAAATATATTCTCATGCAGGGAAAGCATATAAATGAATAAATAATCACATAAACAAAAGAGATGAGAGCATTAGGAGCTTTAGAGAAAGCCATTGCATTCTTTGAAATCATGTAATAACTGATAGCTATCAAGAAGCTCAAATGTTTGGTAATATATAAAATGGTTTTAAATAAGAATGGAAACAACACAAGTATGCATACATATATGTGAATAAATATGTATGTATATATAGAAATGCAAACAAAAGGCATTTCAAGAGTTGAGTCTAACGCATTTTTCTTAAGCATTGCCTCAAAGTGTAAGCAAACCTTGTATACTTTTTAAAATACTGGGTGGACCAATATTGTATCATTTGCTCATTGGGCTCATGCTCCAAGTTAAGTTTTTTTTCTTTTTTTTTTTGAGAAAAAGGTAAAGTATTGTATTACTCAAAAAAACAAGCCAAAAGAACTCCAGAATCAAAAAAGGAGATATAAGGCCTATTCCTGAACAATGTGATCCTATCCAAGAATACAACCTACCCCAAAATCCTTTCAATAAATTCTTTTTGTAACGAATTTGTTTTCCAACAGTATTTTGTTCCTTTCCATCCAAATCGTCCAAAGTCCAAACCACTAAAGCTGGCCCAACTCCCCAAATAACCTTGCCTTCTTTAGAAAGACCTTTCAGTTGCCAACTCCTTAGAACTGCCAATAATTTTTCTTGAAAACAGCAATGTACTTCAAACAGCCCCAAAAATCTTGCCCAAAGATTTCTTGCAACTCTGCAGTGAATTAGCAAATCTTGCCCCAAGTTAAGTATGTTATTGTAACCTCAAGGTCATGTTTATGATTCCAGCATATCACAACCCACCCACCTTCCCCAATACACAAGCATAAATGCTAGGGTTATCTCAAAATATCTATTGCAACCTCAAATGAAATGGAAGTTAGAGAAAACAAGGAATTTTAGCAGAAGTAAGAAGTAAGAAACTTTTATTGCTAAAAGTAAGAAGCAAAAGAAAATTTTAGCAGGCTATAGGTAAAGATAATCTATGTATTTACCATTGATGCATCATCTTAATACCTTTCCTTTTTTATGAACAACAGTAAAAAATGAATTCATTAGTGAGATGAAAAGGCAACTCCATTGTAATCCCCAAGCCTGGTCTCCAAACCCCCACTTAATAGATTTTTTTTCTTTTTTTTTTATGGGCACCCCCCATTTTATAGATTTAATGATAGAAAGGGTTAGTTTGCTAATGGATAGGTGGTCCTATGGACCCCACTGGTTCCTTGTAGGCCCATTCTAAAAATCGTTATCATCTTGTTATGCAAGGTCCTATGGATTGAATTAGAATCAGATTCAACAACATCTAAATCCTATTAGTGGAAATTCAAATCCAAATCTTATCCGAAATCCTATCAGATTTGAAGATATCGGATTCCAATCCATCTCTACTTCATTTTTTAAAATAAAGAAAACTTTAAAAAAAGTTAATTACTTTTTAACTTATATATAATAAATAATACAAATTAATATAAATATGAAATATTGATTTTATTATATAAACTTATATATAGTATAATAATAAAAATCATATATTTTTATTATTTATATATAATTATATAAATTTTATATATTAAAATCGATACATATTATAATATAATCATATTTGAATTTTAATCGGATCGGATCAAGTTAAATCCACATTCACTCCGATTATGTAAACAGGTCATCTGAATCTGAGATAACAAGGTCATATTTTGGACTTTAGAGCCTGTTGACAACCCTAGACATGCCATCTTGTCTACTTCAGCTCTATTTCCTCTTTGGTTTCAAGCTTTCTTTTATCCGTGCCTGTCTTCTAATGGCAGCATATCCATTCTCTGCTCTCTGCTTTTTTAATCATTACCATGATCAAAAAGATTTTTTATTAATATGATATAAAAAGAGAAACCCCAGTAGTCCAATAGGTAGGACTGGAGGGGACAATACAGAAGCAATGGGTTGAGTCAGCTTACAACACCATACAGACTCTTCACTACTCTCGAAACATAGCTTTTACAATGCACACAGGCGTGGTGGCTCCCAAACCAGATCTGACCTACCCACCTTATCCCCTGCTACTGTGCCTGCTTTATGCTGTTTTCTGAGCTTAGAAACCACCCAAATGAGTTGTTCATGATCGAAGAAGAAACTCTAGATTTGCTTATACAGTTTCTTAGAGACCAATATGAGCATATGCTGATTTTAAGCCTTGAAAGTTAAGAGTTATCCACCAAAAAATAAATAAATAAGAGAAGTTTAATTATAGGAAATGCTTCTCCAGAGATGGTCCTGAACAATTGGGTAGTGCATTACCCATATGGTCTATACAGACTCCTCCCATCCCATACCAGATTGACCTAGATTCCCAAATGAACAGTTATCAAGTATCAACACTGAATTTTGTCGTGCCCATATCCAGAGACAACCATGTGGACTGTTTAGTCTGTCTTTGTGGGATGAAACCAACTATTATGAATTATGATAGAACAATCCTCTCAAGATGGAGTCCATTGATACTATCAAGCAACCCTCACCATGATGACTTCAATTTTCACTTATCAATCAAATTTTCTTTAATCCAAATTATAACTTCAACTGATTATTTATTTACTATACTCAAATAGTAGATATTCCATCCTAGTATATTATACATATGTGATAAAATCGTCACATTGAACTTGATGAAACTAAATGTTGAACATCTATTGGTAATGATCCAATGAAGGCAGATTTCTGAACAGTACTCCATCCTGAATTTTTAACTGCACTCAACACATCCACTGATAATGGTGCCAATCATCCAAGTTTTCACAGAATTAGGTCCACTTCAAAACCATGGCTGGCCTATATGGCATTGAAGATCAGGAGTATGTGCTGTTGTTTCCCATGTCTCAAATTCCAGCTTGACAAACTGAAGTAGGAAATTCAGGTACCGAAGGTTCCTAGTGATGAGACTACCCTTTTATGGGAACAGTCTACAAATGACCAAATTGAGAAAAAGAACAAACAAAATTGGAGATAAAAAAAGTGGCAAAAAAGGGAAGTCCTTAAAGGCCACTGCCCAATGTTGGTCCCAGTTATCTGGGGTCTTGGGAGGGATAGACTAGATACAGACCTAACCTTTGACATTTTTTTGGCACAAAGCCACCACTCTCATACTCAAGCCTGTGCTCACACGTTTGTCAGGTCCAGATTTTACCATCACATAAAGCAAGAAAAATCCTTCCTTGACAATAAAGAAAATACTATCCATTGTCAACTACAGGACTTTAGCATCCATATGATACTTTCAATATCCTCCATCCCCACGATCCATTGGATCCAGACCTTTAAGTTTTAAAGGTCAACAACACTAAGACCTAAACATTGAATTGGGGCCGATGCAGACAAGAAAGCTTGAGCATAACGACATAACACCAGACGTAACATATCCCAATCTTGGGTACCACCCGCAACCTGATTTCAGTAAAATTTTTAGTGGTGTTTCTTTTGCAGCTAACGACTATCTTTCATGGACTTATGTAGTAATAGGGCTACTTTTCTTCTTCAGTGAAGAGACATTAAAATAGAAGCGAGAGACGTGTTCCTAAGTAACCAGTTGACAACACAGAACCAATTACAGTTCCTAGATGCAATCTTGCAATTGCTAACACAAATACAACATTCTGCTTCCATACTTAATCCATCCATTGGAATACAAATCTATGTCACATTTCTTAACATTTTTTACTCTAAAGAAAAGCATATAGAGCTCAGAACAGAAAGAAAAGCACGTAAAGCATCAACAGAGAGAAGGGGTCATACATTGTGCCTGGTGCCTCGGTACATTTTGCCAGGATTTCCGAGGCCGACGAGCAACCAGGGCTTGGGCTTCGCTTCCAGCACCGGTGTGGTTGCAGGAGGGCTTGGCTCCTGGCTCGAGGAAGCGAAGACCTGAAGGCGAGACATTCTGGCAGGAGAGACCAGGCCGGAGCAGAAGCAGCAGCTGTAAGGGAAACGAACAGCGTTCGCCGGTGGGAATGAAATAGCTGGAATAAGCATGATTATTATATTAATGGTCAACAATACTAGAGAAGTGAGAAACCTTAAGGCCGCTGAGGAAACCCGCGCCCGCTTTCCTTTGCAGATGTTCAAGATTCAGTTATCCTTCCCACCCCGTGGAGAGAATAAGGCTACGTTTGGTTTGAAGGAAAAGGTAAAGAAAGGAAGGCAAAGTTAAAAGAATCTATCGAAGGTTTATAAAGGTTTTTTTATCTTTTCTTTTCTTTTCCTGTATTTTTCTTCCAACCAAACATAGCCTAAGGGTATATATTTCTCTGTGTCCGAGATCATCAGAAATGAGATCTTGTGACTGTTGGATTTAGTTTCGGAAAATCATTTAAAAGATCCTGCCGTAAAAGTGGGATCGGCCAAGACTTATTTTCGATTTTTATGTGGCATTATCCATCATAGATTTACAAAAATCTTGTTTCTTTTGATGCTGGCCCGACCGCAGCTCTGAGCCAAAATATAAGCTCAAAGTTCAATACGAGCTGGGCCTAGGCTGACCTTGGCCCAGTCAAACTTTATTTTGGAATATGCATTAGGGAGACTTCATCCAGTAAGGAGCAATGTTTTTTCTTTTTTGTTTTTTTTTTTAATTTCAGTCTAGTATCCTAAACTGAAGTTAGTACCCGAACTTTAAAATATATCACTCCAATATCTAAACTTTTGAAAACTGCAATTTAATACTCGCACTGACGCATGTGATGTCACCTGTTATTATAATTACATGCGAAATCGGAAATTCTACCAGAGCAACGATTTTCATGACGAATTTAATCAGAAATTCTATCAGCTTTTCTTTTCTGATGGTACAATTGGGCTATATTGCTGCTGAAAAAGTTGGCGCGGATCTTAATAGGGTTTAATTAGAACTAAATCATCATTGGGTAGTTGTTGTAGACAATGAAGTTATAATGGAGATTGGGTCTGATATTGTATACGAGTACAACCTCGTTTGTAACATCTGGACCATCTTGCATTTCTGTGGAGTAGGGGAAAAGCTGTGACTACCGTTGACATCCATTTGTACCATCTTTTTTTCATATTTTGTTTCCTGTGTTCTTCATGTCAGTTATATGTCTGACCATATTCCCCATTTCATTTTGGCTATAGGAGGTGATAGCGGGAAGGGGTGTAGATATGGGGCAAATCAGTGGGGAGGAGCTTTTGCATTGGGAGAAGGCGCAAGAGAAAGGTACATGCGAACAGAAGATTTTTGTTTCTATAAGATTGAGGCCTCTGAATGCAAATGAGATTGCGAGGAACAAAGTATCAGATTTGGAACGCATCAATGAATTCAGGAACGGTCTTCCCGAGCAATTTACGTATCCAACTGCATATACATTTGGTAAAGAACTATTTATTTTCTTTAATTTGGGATAATTGATTCACTTAGTACTGAATTTGGCAATGCAAATTTGCTAGAAGGCTCAATTTGGAAAGAATACAAATATAAATATATACAGTATAAATACATACAAAATATAAAATTTTGCGCTCTACATATTTGTATTAATATTCTTCCAAACTGAGCCAAAGCTTAGGTTGATGAGAGTTACTGATGGGATCTCTTTGTCTTCATGTTACCTCAACTTTTCATTCCTTTGCTTGTTTTCCTTGTTTAGGATTCCTTTTATCAATTAATGTTAACAACTTGAAGTCCGCTTTGTGCGGTTAAGATATTACAATCTAACTGATCTTCCGTATCGATCCAAATATATCATAAGGATTGAATTTGAAGTAATTTGCACAAACAAGTTAATTTTTCTTAGTTTTTTTTTTAATTCTTTAGATTGTTCTTTTGAAATATTTGGAAACTTATCTTATTGCGGACATCCGGGATATACGTAAATTCAATACGTGTCATTTGTGTCATTTCAGAAAGGGCATTGTAAAGAAAATTAGATGGTATCTAAGGGCATTTGTGTCATTTCACATGTCACTTAATGCTTTTTTATGGTTTTTAGACTAAATTGACAGTTTTTGAAAGTTTGGATACTAACTTGACACTACTCCCAAAGTTTAAGATACTAAACTAAAATTTCTCCTTTTTTTCACACTTTAGGAGATTCAGAGACATGATGAAAATGAGATCCATGAGAGCTTGCAGTTACATGATTTGATCCTGCACCTAGGGTCTAGGGATGTCAATGGGTTAGGTTAAACGGTTAACCAACTTGATTTGACTTTATAGAGGCAGGTTAAGTTTAGGCTTATTCTAGGTGTAGGGTAACATGAGAGAGGCTCAAGTTCCATTGTCCCTTGTTGGGCCATGATACCCCTAACAGGGGAGTCTGGATTATTCCTCGCAGAGCACGTCTTTCACCGACCTTGCAGTGTATTCTAACCACACATTAGGGAAATCTCTCATACTTCTATTTATTATTCATGGGGAGATGTTCCCAATACAGGGTAGGATGTCGTTGTGAGGTGCATTTTGTGAGGAGCATATCCCAATTCCTAATAGAATATTTTCTATAATTTGCTATGACATCTAACTCCATAACTTTAGGCTATGTTTGGTTTGAAGGAAAAGGTAGGGAAAGGAAGAGAAAAATAAGGAAACCTTTACAAAGCTTGTATATATTTCCGTACTTTTAATTTCCCTTCCTTTTTCACTTTTTCTTTCAAACCAAACACAGTGTTAAAATTCAGGATTCCTCTTCATGTTTATTTTAGTTTTCTTGTGATACCTTAGAACCTGTAAGCCAAATTCCAACTTAATTCAATAGGTCATAGGTTTTATGGTGTAGGTAACCTGAGTCGGGTTAGGCTCATGTTGAAACATATGAGAGGCGAATTATGGTGTAGGTAAACCCACACTGAAGCTGACCTGTTGACATTGTCTAGGCTACATGTTCTATCTCAATCATGTGCCTCACCTTGGGTTACTAATGTCAACTGTTGAAAATTCATATGGAAGATTTAAAAAATAAAAAAAGGCTAAAAGGCGAAGGAATCTTCCATGTATTTTTCTTATTATCCCCATTAATGGGTCTTTTTCTCATGGTTTTCAAAACTAGACCAAACCGGAAAAATCAGGAACCGGTCACTTGGCCGGTTCCTTTTCCCCCAAAACTGTTTTTTCCTCAAAATCGTTGATTCTGGTCAGCAAACCGCTGAATCAGCCGGTTTTGACCGTTTTCCAATTTTTAAAATTTTTTAATTTTTTTATTAAAACGAGCCAGCCATTCGGGTCAAACGATCGGACCGTTCGAACCAGTAACCGGACCCTTGACCGGTTCGGTCATCGGTTCGTTTTTAAAAACCATGTTTTTTCTTATGATAAAACAGGAGGGGTTACACAAGACGGGAGGTGGCACGTCCGCAAAAATCAAATAAACAAATATAAAAAATAGACCAAGGGATGTTGTTTAAATTAAAATCCAAAGAATCCATTGCATTTGTTTAAGCTTCGTTGCCTAGTTTGCTTCGGTATACACATGGCAATAAGACATACTTTCATCAAATAAATCCTTCAACTCTAGACAATACAAGGTAATATTCTTTAATCTCGACGGGGGATAAACCTTCTAACGAAGACAAGAGATTATCAATTTTGAGTCACCTTCGATGATGACTTGGGAGTCCTTAAAGTTTAGTGCCAGGTTATGGGCTTTTCATGCACCCCAAGCTTCCACTAGATTGATGGTAGTGATACCAAGTTTGTGAGCTTTAACATCGAGCACATTAACTAAGTGATCTCTAGCGATGCTAGCAACTAAGCAATTACCAATACTATTGCAAGAGGCATCAAAGTTTATTTTAATGATCCCAGCATTGGGACTTCTCCACATAATAGGTTTCCATCAGTTTACACTGGAGTCATAGGTGGTGATTTTTGTGCACTCAATATACTTTCATGTTTCTTTTCTTCCAAAGTGACCAAAGAATGAAAGCAAGCATAAGCCCTTTTCTATTATGAGTTTTACCACTCATTCTATCCCACCAGTCATTCACAGTTTGGTCATCCTCACTTAGACCCTCAAGAGTTAGATTAACTATTATCCATATTTGTTTTACAAAAACATAGCTTTTGAATATATGGTCCTTATCCTCCTCACCCCCACAAAAAGCAACAAAAGCCAATTAGGGCATTGTCAAGAGTTTTTGCAAAACTATTCATAAGTCATTTTCTAGGCTCAAAATCATGGTTTTCAAAATTGGATCGGACCGGACAGTTGGACCAAAAAAACCAGGAATCGGCCACTTGACAAGTTCCATTTTTCCTCAAAACCATTTTTTCCCCCCAAAAGCATCGAGTTTGGTCAACAAACCGTTGAACCATCAAGTTAACCGTTCAAACCACATGGGTTCAGCCCAACCTCTAAAAGAGGCTAAACCGAATTCATTGCTCAAGGGAGTGGACCATTGACCCAATTAACATTAGTTCAATTTGGGCCCAACATTTACACCTAAATGCTCCTTAGATTTAACCACCCTATAAAGACCCAAGGATAATGAACTCATGTAAGATAAAGCCCATCAAGTAATCGACCATGTATGGTCTCTTACATTTAACCTCTCAGCCCATAATGATTACAATACTGCCCAACAAGGAATAACATCTCCCCTAACTATAAGGTACAGTGTCACACTCTCTGCTCGAATGGATCTAGGGATTAAAACCTTTTACAAACCTTTTTCATAAAATAGTAGTATATAACATACAAATATATTTTGCAAAATAAGATTTCAAACATAGATGAAATCCATTCCCGATAGTATTGGTTTCTACCAAAGAGAGTGTAAACCCTGATATTCACTTTGTCCAACAAAGGGGCCGATCCTATCACTATGATCACCCACTCAGGTCAATTCTTAGACTGCCCTAACATACTCAAGTATTTGACCCTTAATGGATCTCACTAATTGGCATATCAAATATAACCCACTCCAACACCTAGTGCAACATCATAATCAAGTCTAGGGTTATGTGTAACTTTTCAGTTTTGCCCATCTATCTCCAAGGTTCAGGGCACAAGTAGAAATTGGCCCGGATTCAGTGCTTTTAATGAACACCCAATGACTGTGCTTAGGATCTAACCTTAGAAGTTGAGACAAGTTGCTCTAACTCCTTGGCAACACACCAGTGTCAACTTTGTCAGGGTAAACTCCCTAAGTCTATCCAATGGCTGAGAACATTC